ACCTCCTCCTCCTCCTCCTCCTCCTCCTCCTCCTCCTCCTCCTCCCTATCTTCATTATCATCATCCTGATAATATGACTAGGGAATGTTGTAAGGATTACAGAAATAGTCCGTGTAATGGATTTCCACTGGGATTTAAGAGGCTGTAGTGGTTGTGCATACTTTGCATGCAGAAAATCCAGAAAATCCATGATTGTTCAAGAGAAGTTGGGAAAGAACCAAGTTTGAGATCCTGAAGAGCTGCTTCTAGTCAAAGTAGTTTTCAGCATTCAATCTGAGCATTCAAAGATATGCAGAGACACCAGAATACTCAGTGTTGGGTATGGCCTTTCATGTCTCCTTTTCTTTCTCCTACTTCACATTCCATTTGTTTTTCGAACATTAATTTAGAAGAGAATTTTGGAATAACGTGTGTTGGTAGGCTGTGAAGTTCCAGCATTTATTTATTTATGAGGTAGTCAAAGGGGGTACATAAAGGCCCTGCTTTTCATTGTTAGATCTTCCTTGCACCAGCCTGCCTGGCTTTCCATGGTTCAGATACATTGCAAATGATATCCTCCCATTGTCCATTTTCAGATTGGGAAGTGTACACAGCCAAGGAAGCTTCAGAAGGATGGAAAGATGAATCATAAAAACAAGAATACCAGCAGTTGACTATTTGCTGCCTCCCAAAATAAAACAAGTTTAAAAAATACTATCAAGATAAATTCCAAGGAAATTCCCAAGCACCATGAGAAGGAAGAGAAACAGAAGCTTATGAGAAATTCCAAAGCAAATTCTGGCACAGCATATGCAGAGCTGAAAGGGAATTCAGAGGGCTTCCAGGCCCTGAACATTGTTGGGGATATAGGCAAGATACAGTTGCAATATTTTCCCATGAACAACTGCTCAGCTTCTGTTTAACATACCTGCCTCCAAAGGTAGTCTATTCTACCATTATTCAAGATAAAATCCAAACATAATTGTTTGTAATAGTTGCAAATAGAGTATATGCTATCCCTAGTTGAAAACAGAGGTATTTAGTTAGTATCGTATTTGTGTTGCATTATAAGTAGAGTTTATCATTTCTACTTTAAGAATCATCCCTCAGTATTTGTTTACAGCATTGCTGACAAGCAACCCCAATTTTATGTGTTGTCAACATTATATTAATGCTGTCTCATTCCACTCATGATTTAAAGCTTGTTATCCCACTGCTTTGTGCACTACAAAACATCTGATCCTCATTCTTGACACCAACACTGTCCTGTCACAGTGGCAAACAATTGTAATCCTCTTTTTTTGAGGGGGATGTATTTTGTAATCAAACCGGCCTTAATTTTCATTGGTAATTCCATATGATCCTGATATGATAAAGGTGTCAGAGTGAGGGTAGAAATAGAAAATATATCAGTCTTGTGAAATACATTTGGTTGACAAGCTGTAAAACATAGGATGCAGTGAATGGAGACTGAGGATAAAATTATATCACCTCAGCAAGGCCCGGGTTCCAGTAAAGTTAGCTAGTGAGGAAAAACTCTGAGAAAGAGTAAGCTTAAATTTTGTCTTCTATATTCAGCTTGGGAGACAAAACACTTTCAGAAAATTGACCATTTTCACTGTAGGTTTGGTGGTTATGGAATACTGTAAGACCAAGGTCCATGTCTGTTTGCAAAAGGCAAACATCTTTAGTCCTTACAACTTTCAATACATTTATTTAATA